TCTATTCAGTGATATACCCATAGCGGCGGCAACCCTTCAAATGACACCAATAGACTGGTCCTATCAAACTGAACCTCAAGAAGCCTCCTGTTTTGGACTCATTAACCGCGTAAGACTTATAACTCTTTCATATTTTAAGGTTTTATTCAATTTGAAGTATATTTCTATCAGTTATTTGAGATTTTTATATTACTGTACTTTCATACTTAAGCTTCTGTAAGCAATAAATATATACATGAAATGGTGTGAATGTCACACATGAGTCGCTCACTTATTAGATAGTATTTACACAAATAATTAGTTAATTATATTTTTATCAAAAATTAATTTAATTTCAATCAATTGTAATACAGCGGAGTCGTTGGCCTAGGGGTCGAGTGCTCGGGGGGTCATCTGTGCTTAACTACATGTTATATATAAGAGGCAATAGTCGTGATTATGATGGTTGGGCTCAGAACGGAGCCTATGGCTGGTCTTGGGATGAAGTTCTGCCTTATTTCATAAAATCAGAGGACAATCGCGACCCAAGTATTGCCTACAATGGTATGAAACGTTTGAAAGTTTGGCATATAATTAGAATATTAACGAAACCAAAAACTATTTTTGATAATTGTATTATAAATATATCGATGGTATAACAAAAAGTAATATTGAAATAGAGATCATGTGAATGGGAACGTCTTATTAAAGAGCACTCCGAGTGCTGTGTAATGTAGGCGTTGATCACAAAAATGAAATCAGTTTCCATTGAATAAGGATTGGGAGAACCCATCACTCACTCATTGGATTTGTAGGAATCGGCTATTTTTGAATCACAATTTGTTGTCATTTCTCAATGAAATGCCGTTTTCGATACACATGTCAGTCGGTTAGCCCTCGGAGGCTCATCCCTCCCCACAGTTATGACTATTGTTTAGTAGAGATCATTGTTTTGATCCAATTTCAAGTTTTCATGTTAAGCCCAGTCTGTGCTCTACTCTCTATTTTTAGGACACTATAAAAGAGCTATTCATCAAAATAGTTGCCATCGAATCGATTTGAAGTCTAATAAGTGTGACAAACACTCAGCAATAACAACACAAATACCAAATTAT